GCGAGAGAAGCCGGGTGGCAGGGGGAAAAGGCAGGAGCTGATCTGGTCTTTCTCCCCCACCGCACAGTTTCTCCGCTGCTGAAACCACCATCGAGCGCAGCGCTTTGGGAGAAGCCCCACGGTGAGGGACAAAGACCGGATCGGCTCCTGCCTTTCTCCCCTGCCACCCGGCTCATTCCCTCTTCCAAACCGTTGGTGTGAAAGAGCTAAAGAAGCAGCCTCTTCGCCGCCAACGGTTTGAATTTCCCGCCCTTTTTCCCTGCCTTTTTCGTCCATATGTCAAAGCTCCAGCTGCAAGTCAATCCAAAATTTTGTGGCTGGAGCTGTACGTAGGTCAAAAAGTCCGTAAGTCAGGCCATTCGTAGGTCGAGACTCCACTGTACAGGTCGTTTTGTTCTCTCCTCAGCTCTTAGCTTACTTCTGTGTAAAAGACGCCCCTCAATTTTTAGTGTAATGATTTTAGGGGAAAGTAGAGTCATATACATGGAAAAATACTGTAAACTGTAGAGTAGATTTGTTGAATCTAGATGAGTGGAGTAAAAGCAATAGATAGATAGATAGATAGATAGATAGATAGATAGATAGATAGATAGATAGATAGATAGATAGATAGATAGATAGATAGATAGATAGATAGATAAATAGATAGATAGATAGATAGATAGATACAACGTAAAAGAGGCACAGAAAAGACCAAGCAAGACAATCAAGATAATTCCTCAGTAAGAAAGGATTACCTTGTTTCAAGCTGTTTGGCTTAAAAAGATGATCATGTCAGAGGTGTGTAGAATTATGTGTAGTGTGGAAAAATAAATAGCAACAGGTTCTTCCCAAACTCTTATAAAAGTAGATGCTGAGGTCATCTTCTGAATGTTTGAGAGATCCAGGAGAGATCAAAAGGGATTTCTTCTTCACCCAGCACAGAATTAAGCAGTGGAACTCACTGCCGCAGGACATGATGATGTCTACCCATTTGAACGGCTTCAAAAGGGATAAGGTATATCGATGGAGGTTCGGGTCATCAGAAGCTACTTGTCTGAAAAGCCTTGTATCACACAATGTATCATGTATTAGGCCAATGTGTTTCAGTAGCTGAAGGCTGTGCCCTGTAAAATAAGACACCTTGTCCTTAATTTGGTCCGGCAGGGAAGTTCCGAAATTGAACCTTATTTTGTTTCCTTCCAGCCCCGGAGGGGGATTTCAGATCAGGCTGGTGGAACCCCTCCTCCGTCTTCCGGCCACCCATGGTAATAAGCCATATGGGTATAGAGCAAAATATCCAAACATTCCAAGCAAATTTGCTGCCCAGAGTAGACCTTTGGTCAAGATGGGCGGGTTAGAAGTCCAATACAATAAAATAAATTAAAATAAATGTGGGGAATCCTGCTAGTTGTTTAAAAAAAAAAGCAGTCAAATTATTTTTTGTAAGACCAAAAAAAATAAAAAAATAACACGGTGTGTGTTGTGTTCACAGGCAGGGGAATAATTTGTGGAACTGTCTCTTCCGGGAGTCATCCAGTTCCCAGATGCACCCGGAGAAAACATTTTGTACTGCGATATTGCTCTCATAACAATGCAGCATGATAGATTGCTTACTTAATTACAAAAGGTTTCGAGAGAACTGAAAGGTTCTCCCCCCCCAACCCGCCCCCCCCATGATAGGAAGGAAACCCATAATTGTGTCTAGCCACATGTAATTAATTGAAGGTTGGCAAATTCATGCCAATTGTGACTTGGCACTAGAGATGGGCGTGAACCACTGGTTCGTGCCAGTTTCGTCCTTTGGACAAACACCTGCTTTGCGGTTACTAGCCAGCCCTCCTCCAGCAGGGGCCAACTCAGACTTCCCTGCCCCGGCTCCTCCAAATGCTGCTTCTGAGCAAGTGCCCACTGGAAGAGGCAGGGCTGGGAAGATGCTTCTGAGTGAGTGCCCACTGGAAGAGGCGGGGCTAGGAAGCGTCCAAGATCTGTGTGTCCAAAGGAGAACCCGGGACGAACCAACAAACCAGAAGTTCGCGCCCATCTCTACTTGGCACTGTGGGTGCTGTACTCTGAAAGAGAGACTTTGCCAAGCTCTGCTTTTGAGTTGCTCTTCACCTGGGAAACCATTCCTGGACAAGGGTCTTGCCTTCATCTCCTACTGATGAGCTTGCCATGGGCTTCCATTCAGCCAGGCTGGGTTTCATGGGAAGCCGCAGTGCTGTTCCCATCCTCCCCGTCGTTCTCATCTACGCCTCTTTGTCTCTCTTGTTCAAGATTGGAGCCCAGTGCTACTTGGAGTGCTCAGCCTTGACCCAGAAGGGCTTGAAGGCCGTCTTCGACGAGGCCATCCTCACCATCTTCAGCCCCAAGAAAAAGGAGAAGCCCTGTTCTACCTGCTGTCGTTCCTGTACTGTCGTATGACGACACCTCGTAGAAAACTGTGCTGATGTTTGGTCAAAGCATTCCCGCCCTGCCTTTCACACCCATGTTAGAGAGACCCATGTCTCCTACAAAGGAGACCTTTTTTGGTGTTGTTGAAGTTCTGCAGCCATGCTAAGCAAGAACCACGTGGCCTTTTCGGGTCTTCTCCGAACCCACTGCAGAGCTGCTTATTCCGTCAGGCATGCCCACGTTGGTGGCACCGTTCCCCCTGTGCATCAGCTCAGAAAGGAAAGTATCTTCTCCACCCAGGATCTGTGATGGGCCAGAAGGAAGGAAGGAAGGAGCCCAAGATCCTGGTCCTGCAATACCTCTGGGAGAAACTGGATTCATCATCATTTGTGCCTTCAGGAAGAAATTAATTGATCTGTTCCAATACCACTATGCAATAATAACTCAGGCTTCCACCAGCTAAACGACATAAACAGGGCTTTAGGACTTGGCTGTCATAAGGCAGAGGTGAAGACAGAGGTTAAAATGTTATGTTTTTTGGACTACAATTCCCATATTCCCAGCCAAACCAACTTGGATTGGACCAAGATGTCTGGCTTAAGTTGTGTCTTTACCTAAGCAGCTTAATGATCTTGAGAAGTGGAAAGTTTCCCTGCTGCTTGCCTGCGGAAGGCAAGGGAGAGGAAGTTTTGCATTTCTTTTTAATAACTGCTAATGGATCAGCGAAGCTTCGGTCCCTGATACGCTGTGTCAGTGAGCAACAGTTAGAAACAAATGGCAAGTTCTCTCTTCTTTCCCCTCCATGGGAGAGCAGAAAGGAAGCTTCTCATTTCTCAAGATGGTTAAGCAGTTTAGGCAAAACACAGAGAAGGAGACAGAAGGAGGATTTCTTGTTGTTTTTTTTTTTTCCTTCTTTCTCTTTAAAGGAAAGAAGGTTGGTCTGGATTGTGCTAAACAGGGTTTCTGGAAGTTGCCGTACGATCCATCTTTGCATGCGGATGCAAGAATCGCCCCAATGAGATACTGCATCTCACAGTGACCCTGTTTGACATGATCTAGACCAATACAGGCCGAGATAATCGGGCCATCTAGTCACTCCTTTGTTTTTGGAAAACTTTTGTGTTTTTTTTTCCTGGCAGGGCAGGGCACAGAGACAGGCTGAGATAATTGGGCCATCTAGTCACTCCCTTGTTTTTGGAAAACTTTTGTGTTTGTTTTTTTTCCTGGCAGGGCAGGGCACAGAGAACACTTGCGCTTACTTTACTTCTGCCCTTCCTTGATATGTGGAGCATAATCCAACAAGAAGACATTGGTCTGTGTTGATATTTTACCTTTCCACAGGGAGATTTTGTTACAGAATGAAACACAGAAATGCCTAGTTTCGCCTTTGCGAAGCTGTGAAAAGAGTTTGGAGCACAAACTCTGTTGTTTTCCCCCGAAAAGGACACCGGATTTAAAAATACCATGCTACACCCAAACTCGCACACTCACACACTCCTCTTCCTCCTCCTTCCTCCCCTCTCTAGAGAAGCTTTTGTTCAAACCGTAATGCTGGTTTTTGACAGCAGGATTTCCACAAGGGCCATTGCTCTTGTTACTAAAGCAGGATTGGCTCCCCAGCAACTTTTGAAGGTCCAATAATAGGAAAGAGGATTAGATCTCACTTAATGATACTTTTTTTTCTGATCAGACTTCTTCTAACTGTACAGCAACACATAATACCACAGGGTAAAATGTCTGATGGTTTCTAAGGCTTGTTATCAAAAAAATCTTATTAGGTGTGAGGAAGTCCAGTAGTAATTATTTATGTTGACCCTAATAGGATTTTCTATATATGTGGGATGGTCAAGAGTGGCTTACCCTTGCTTCCACATACAGTGGTGCCTCGCTAGACGACGATAATCCGTTCCACTGAAATCGCTGTTTAGCGAAATTGTCTAACGAAAAGCATTTCCCCATTGGAATGCATTGAAACCTGTTTAATGCGTTCCAATGGGGAAGAATCGTCATTGTCTAGCGAAGATCGGCCATAGGAAAGCCGTTTTGCGAACTGCCAATCAGCTATTTAAATCGCTGT